TATGATATTTTTGCTGCTTTCCTGAACATTGCCGCTAATTACTTTCGTTGTAGAAACAGTGGCTCGAGATTTGGTGCTCAGAATTGTGTATTCGTGCGACTCGCTCCTTTCTTCAAACGCGTTTCGAAGAATTCGCCGATGTATTGTAATTTCAAGCTGCGCACTCACGCGAGAAAGCTTTCATTCGAAGAGGAGTTTGAAGTAGACCCTGAGCTCACTGGCATTGCTGATCTTGAGGTAGTTTTCAGTACGGCATAAAAAGTATCGAATGAGATTGCAAGGCTTAAAGCTGGGACGAAAATTTGGTTAGGCATGAATAAGTTCCGCTGATTTGCAAAATCGATTCGGTAATTCGCTTATAAAGCGATCTGATTATCTCTGTCTAAAGCAATTAATACTCGATTGCTTATTCGCTTTGCTGCTGCCGAACATATACAAATACAATTAAGGCAAAGAATGTTTATTTCTGATGAATTATTGGTCGTCAGTAGCGTGGTTTTAGATTTTTGCTTGTGGGGGCACAGAATCCCTGGAAGAAAAGCGCTTCATGGACGAGCGTCGTAAGCGACAAATTGAACGCAGCAAGAAAGTAAGTTTGCTTTACTATCAGGGCTCGCTAACTTACTGCCGCATTTTTATTGAAACTAAAAGAATATTGTAGACGGACAGTGCACTCGAAGCGGCGTAGATGCTAACTGAGAGAGCAAGTCTAGCGGTGCATGCATTCCGGCCGCACTTGTTGAGGCGTAGAAGAGTTGGCTAGAAGAGTCTAAGGCATACCGCGCCATAAGGCTTGTCCCGTTCGGTGCTTATGAAATAGCATTATTTCCAGTTCTCGTTTTTATATGTTTTATTAGTTATGATACCACTGCGAAACTGGACTTAGAATCGCAGACGAAATGCAATGAAAATTTGGAGGTTGTTTTTAGATACATGCCCAGCATCATGCATTAGATTTAGATTTCATTTTTTCCAGCTGTTTTGGCTTGCCACGTTGCGAAATTTGTTACGGATCTGAACCGGAGTTCATAAATTAAGACACATTGACATTTCCAAATTGATTTCGAGTTGTGCACCGTATGAATTTAACAGTTTGAAAAATAAAAGCTCGTGGCCTTCATTCATTATAACTTCAGCCAACTTTTGGACCTGATTTTGAAGTTAAAAGGCGATAACACATTAAACTCAAATACCGTCGCTTGTTACATAGTCGAGAATTCTGTCTCTGGACTGGCGTCTCTATTTCCCACATTTTAAGAGTTTAATACACAGCATCCATGTACAGACTTCCTCGCTATAATGATTTTTTTTTTTTTGGTTTGTACAGTAATGCAAAAAAGTTATTTTTTAAGATGCCGCTTCCTGGAAAATGGGACGAAAATCCAGACAAATTGTTGCTAGAAATGGCTGGCGCTTATTCTACAGATAACCGTCGCGAAGTATTTGATCGAAATGATGGCTAGTCTTCGATATACACGGCAGGAAATTAGCAGTAGTACAAGGCGCTCAGAATATCTTTTGCTTGTTTGTCAAGCCTGTTGCGCCACACATGCGGCTGTCTTTAGAGGGGATTCATTAAATCTGACTTCTAAAGTTTGTGTTTGATTTTCTTAGTCTATTCGCTGGTATCAGCTATCTGATAAACCAGTAATCTGATTTAAGGGATTTTTGAGAAGTGAAGCGCAAGATTTGAGGGATATTTCTATGTGCTCTCCTCATATTCTTCTAGAAAAAGAAGATTACTTCAAAAATTCCATATCTTCTGACCGAAATGACAGCTCGCGATTAAAATGACATTGCTTATTCAAAATTGTATAGCTTGGTCAAATTACTCCTTTCTCA